GCAGAAGATAATGAGATATTCTGAGAGAATCCATGAGAAATCCTTGAAACCCAGGTGCGTTCGGCATGATCTCATGGCTTTTTGGTCAGGCTTAAATTAATCTTCAGCTGATGTTTTTCCGAGAAGCCAGATTAGATTTGAGAATGGAGGGAGTGAAGAATAGACTAATGAGACATTCTGAGGGAATCCGTGAGAAATCCTTGAAGCCCAGGTGCGTTTGGCATGATCTCATGGCTTCGTGGTTGAGCTTAAATTTGTTCTTGTTTATTCGTTCAGTTGCTTCCGATTCTTCATGATTTTTTTTGCACATGCCTAGTGGTTTCTTAAGCCTGAAACTCAGAGAAAGCATCACAGTAATAGTAATAATAATGTATTGATGGCGTGCCCTTCCCGAAACGTTACCTGCTGCTGACCTGTGTCCAAGCCCAGGGCTTTCACGAAGCCCGAGGGGTCGATGTACCGCCGCCGACTGCTCTGCAGCAAGGCAAACAAGTACTGCAGGTGCTCACAGATGCTCTGCGGCTCGTAATCTGCAAGGAGGCCAAGCAGAAGCCTGAGACACAATCAAAGCCCTCCCAACAGATGGCCCTCCAGCCCCTGCTTCATAATAATAACAGAATGTTAAGAGTTGGAAGGGTCCCACCCAAAGGCCATCTAGTCCAAGTCCCTTCTGCCACAAAGCAAGACACCACCAAAGCCCTCCCAAAAGATGGCCAGAGAGCCCCTGCTTCAGGATAGAATGATAGAGTTGCAAGGGAATCCAAAGAGGGCCATCCAGACCACCCACATTCTGTCATGAAGAAAGCACCCTCCGACCGCTCCCAGCAGATGGCCCACCCACTCCGGACCAACCTGCACTGACGGAGGGCCCTTCTGCAGCTGTGGGAGTTTAATATAATTTTAATATAATAATAATATCCCAGAGTTGGAAGGGGCCCCAAAAACAGCCATCCAAGCCTTATATGCCAAACAGGAGGGCACCTTCCGAACTCTCCCAACAGATGGCCATTGAAGCTTCAATATAATAGAATAGTAATAAAAATATAATAATAATAATATCCTAGAGTTTGAAGGGACCCTAAAGGGCATCTAGTCCAACTCTTTTCCACCAGACAGGAAGACACAACCAAAGCCCTTCTAACAGATGGCCACCCAG